GATTACATATCTCATCTGGCCTGGGAACACCTTGGGGTCCTCCAGGAGGAGCTGGAAAGTGTTGCTGGGGAGAGGGACGTCTGGGGTGCTTTGCTTGGCCTGCTGCCCCCGCAACACGGCCCCAGATAAGCAGATGAAAATGGATGGATGGATGGATATATATGTGTATTATTTGGCCCAGGGCATTTTCTCAGTTAAAAGCGTGTAGTGTGCCAACAGCTGCCTTTGAGTTGAGCCCCTGTCCCCTCCTCCTGTCAACTTCCCTTTCCACAGCCATTATACAGCAAATACATGCAAATGAGACGTCCTGAATGAGCCTCTGAATCCGAGAAGAACACCATGTACTGGATGGCCTTAAAATGCAGCACTGTATCAGGTTTCTCTTCTTCACTTTGCCTTGTGATCTCAAGTGGGCCTGGAGTGAGGCCGATCACTGAGCCAGCCTCTCTGATCATCTTACTGATCCTGTTTTTGTCATCCACAATGATGTGCGCCCCCTCTCCCCCAGAGGAGATTTCCTAATAAAAAAAATAACGTACAATTACTATACACACAGTGAGCTAGTTTAATCCAGTGGTTCCCACCCTAGGGGGTCGGGCCCCTCAGAAGGGTCACCATATAAATCTGAGGGTTCGTCACATGATTAACGGGAGAGAAGAAGAAACTAAGTTTTTTTTTTATTGCAAGTTTGTATTAACCACCAACAAACAAAACAACAAGAACACTGAATACAGAGCTGAATTTAGGCCAGTAAAGTGTCAGGGGAGAAGAGGACAAGGTTGTGTTGGCTGTCGTGTGTGTGTTTGTGTTTGTGTCTGTGTGTATATACTCTACAGGTTTGACAGGTGAAAGGATGGGGGAGGGGGAAGAGAAAATAAAAGAAAGGGAAGAAATTATATTAAAACTAATCCTTCCCTTACCCTGTTATTACCAACACCAATGATTAATTATAATAAAGTTAGGAGGAGTGGCCCCCATCCAGTGAAGCAGTACTGGGGCACCATCAGAAAACTCCAGAATGGGTCAGCAGGGAGAGTGCGGCAGGATCAACCAGGTTATTGTTGCATCTTAATGTTATTGACATAAAGTTTGGGCTTTATCTTACTATATAATGATGAAAACTCTGTGTGTGTGTGTGTGTGTGTGTGTGTTCCACGTTTTTCTCCTCACTGACTTGGTCAATCCATGTGAAATTTGGCACAGTGGTAGAGGGTCATGGGAGGATGCCAATGAAGCAATATTACATCAATTGGCCAAAGGGGGGCGCTATAGCAACCCATTGAAATGTCAAACTTTGAATGGGCATATCTCATGACCCGTATGTCGTAGAGACATGAAACTTTGCACAGAGATGCCTCTCCTCATGAGGAACACATTTGCCTCAAGAACCCAAAACTTCCGCTTATATAGATTGTCCGCCATTTTGAATTTTTTGAAAAACACTTCAAATGGATCTCTTCCTAGGAAGTTTGAGCGATCTGCATGAAACTGGGTGAACATAATCTAGGGACCAATATCTAAAGTTCCCTCTTGGCAAAAGTTGGAAAACTTACTAAAACTGAGCTTCTATAAGGCAATGAATATTGCAGAGGGCGTGGCTCATCACATAAAGGTGTATAACATCTCAAGGGTTTCACCCATCACCACGCAACTTTGTAGGCATATGACCACACATAATCTGAGGGGACCCCTCCATTATTGAACCCATCAAACAAAATGGGGGCGCTAGAGAGCTCATTTCTTATCTAGGCCTAACCGCCATATGGATTTTTACTAAACTTGGTAGATATGTAGAACAGGACGCCTCAAGGTGACTGGAGAAATTTAACTCTAATTGGCAACTGGGTGGCGCTATAACAACAGAAAAATGCTTCAAAATGGCTAAAATGCGACCGATCGCTGTGGCTCCCCCTGTGGACCAATGTTGGTGTTGTTTTCTAATGTTTGGTATGACTAAGTCATGGTATGGTATGCTGTACATAATCACGGAAACTGTCAGTGTGTCATTCTGTCAGTCAGTCATTCTGTCTGTCCCACGTTTTTCTACTCACTGACGTGGTCAATCTATGTGAAACTGCACATAGGCATTGAGGACTGGCATAGGTAGAAGGTGACCAATGGGTATGGACTAATAGATATGATTTAAGAGGGAAATCCTAAAAAAATACTTCCACCAGGGTGGAACAAGCATGAAACAAGAGGATGCAGTCTGGACCCCTACAAAAATAGATTGGATGGATTTTGGTCAACAAAGAATATTTTATATAACTTTAAAGCTGATTTGTAATTATTTGTGTAATTATTGTTATCTTAAACATTGTAACATTAGTTTGTTGTATGGTTTGTTTTTGTAGTTGGTGAGTCTGGTGTGGAGGCTTTATATCCTGTACCAGGATATTTTTTTCATTAAATTTAATTACATTTCATTAAATATGACTGAGGGCTGCACAGGAAACATGCACACAATATGATTTCTTCATTATACCATGACATTTGTGATGACTTTTTCATGACCTTTTCATGACATTTTTATAACATACTAAGACTTTACAAAAACTACAGCAATCGACAGTGATGGAACAAACACAACACTAGTTTTCCACTTTTTAATACATTAAATTGTAATGTAGATATGTATTAGATAATGTACCTACTCACAACAGCAGTTATGTAACAGCCTCACAGTGACCTTTGACCTCCAAATTTGAATCAGTTTATTGCTAAGTTCAAGTGGATGTTTGTGCCAAATTTAGGAAACAAGATAATAACCTCAATGTGTTCTTGTGATATTGTGTTCAGGAGAATGAGATGGACGCAAGGTCACAGTGGCCTTGACCTTTGACTACCAGTTTGTGATGATAATGTTGTTATGTTGTTTGTGTCTCAGCTCAAAGAGAGGCTGAAGGACCATGGGCTGAATGATGACATCAAACTCAAGTGGAAGAAGCAGCCGGATGGAAAAGTCTTCCACAAGACACGTTAGAAAGGAGCTGCAGCAAAATGCTGATTAATCGATCAGTCGCAACTGTTTTGATAATCAACTCATCCTTTATGTCATTTTGTAAGCTGGTTCCAGCCTCTCAAATATGAAGCCTTGTTGCTTCTCTTTGTCATATGTGAGCTTCTTGCTCTGTTTTCATTTCTTAAACTGTTGGCCCATTAACAACAGGAAATTGTGTTTAATCTGTTCGGGCTGTTTGAAATTCAAACGGGCTTTTTCAGTGTTTTATTACATTTTGTCATAGAAAATACTACAAGACATGAAGGTTACATAAGAAACGTTAAGATAAAATAGGATAAAATTTGACAGAAGGAAACTCCAGTGAAAAAACATCATTGAAAAAGATGAGCTATAATGTTTTGAAGAATTTTTAAAATCTATTTTTATGGGGAAAAAAATCTTTATTTAAGAGCAATACTGCATCGTAATCTATTTATTGTGTCTCTGTAATGTGTCAGAATATCTTCAAAGGAATTATATAGCAAATAATCAGATGTTTCTCATGTTCTCACCTTGTTAATGATGCAAATTATTTTAGTGACTTATTTTATGTGACTTTTACAGCTTCATGGCAAAAATGGCAAATATTTGCTGGTTCCAGCTTTTCAAATATGAAGTTTGGTTTTTTTTGGTTGTATATGATCATTTACTTAATATTTTTGTGAATTTATCTGTCTGGGTTGTGTGAAAATATAACAGGCTTTTTTCACTATTTAATGACATTTTCTGGATTAGATAAGTTTATATAAAATACATTTTACAATTTAAGATGCTGTAAAATAAGATACTTCAAGATAAGATTTGACTGGAAGAAACTCCAGTGAAAAAAACACCTTTTAAAATGTTGAGCTTTATGTTCTGAAGATATATTTTTATGAAAAAAGTCTTTGTGTAAGAGTAATATTGCATTTAGACCTGTAAGTTGTCTCCCTGTAGTGTGTCAGAATATCTAGAGAATAATTAGATGTATTGTTCTTATGCTGTCACATTATTAGGGACAGGGCAAACTTAAAGCAGTTATGTGACTTTTTATGTTACTGTTTTATCTTCTGAGCAAAAATCCAGAATATTCACTGGTCTCAGATACGAAGATATGATGCCTTTCTCATAAAAAAAAGTGTCATTGTAAAAATGCCATTTTGAAATTAAATGTTTTTCACAGTGTGCTGAAATACAAAGTACATTATAAATCATGTTTATCTAAATTTTGCTGAAGCATAATTTATACAGTAAATAAAGATACACAAAAATGAATAAATGTATAAAAATAAACCAACACAAGACTAAATTCATTTCAACAAAATTTATTTTTTTGAAGAAACCACTCAATGATGCTCATGTTTAAAACCTGCACATGGCATCTATAACACAAATCTCAATAAATTACATAAAAAAACAAAATAATTTAAAAGCCACAGAAAAGTCACTCCGTTGAGATAAAACTGCAGCTCAGGCCGAACAGGTCTCCTAACTCATCAGGGTTTGAAGTCTCAGGTGTCGGACTTTCCCTGCAGCTTCTGAACGCGTCATCACACTTAGAAAATCACCTGCAGTCACATCAGAGCAGCTGTCTGTTTAGCCAAACCTGTTATCCAACAGCAGGATGCTGTCAGCCGACCTTTGACCTCTGATAGCAGAAGTCATGTTACAGGATGAGTTTGACCTCTGAGCAGCAGGTGGACAGTCAGTGCTTCACAAAGTCAAGGATGCTTCCTTCAAAGTTGGGTCCTACAGAGGCAAGGCAAGACTCCTTCCTAGTGTTCAGTGAGCATACATTCAAACAGGTGTGCGTCACTGAAGAGGCCCTGCCTTTAAATCAGGCAAATTGTGTGCAAAGAATTGTGGGTCTTGTGGGTATGCATCCTTTAAATTTCTCTGAAGGAAGGACTCAGTCCTCAGTGGAATTCAAGGGTCCTTGACACTGGTACAGTCCTTCTTAAAATTCAGGGCATTGAAGGATCCTTCCTTGACTTTGAGAAGCATCAGGTTCGTCGGGTTCAGAGGAAGGAGGTGAAGAACTTCTTCTCTGCTCCAGCTCTGGTGGGAGAGGAGGGGGATTTGACCTTCGACCCGCTGTGCTGTCGCTTCCTCCTGGCTCTGCGGTTCTTAAACCACACCTGGAACCACAAACAGAAAGAGAGACGAGATTAAACCATCGGAAGTTTGAAAATCCAGCAATAATTTCTGTTTTACAGTTTCTAGTTGTGATAAATGGTGTAATTTTGGTGATTTGTCTTTCTTTAAAAATCCGTTCATATACAAAATACAAAATACAACTATTCAAATGTGTATGCTCCTCCCCTAAGCCAGAAGTCCCCCCCAAGTGCTTACTAAATTATTTGACAGGCACCACTCCCACCACCTTCATAAGAACACTCCCTACGGGGTGAGAGAGGTCTCAGATAGCTTCCATGTTTTTTTAATACATAGTTAAGTATTTCAGCAGATTTATTCAGCCAGTTTTGGGAGCCCTGGGTAATCAGTCCCACCTTCCCCTCCCACTACGACACCAGAAGAATATGGAACAAGAAAGCGATCGTGCGTAAAACTGCCATATGGACAGGTTCTGCGCATTCCTTGTTCACACATGATTAAAATAAATCACCTCAGCGGCTCCGCATACGCATGTGGGTTGTATATGTTTAATACTGTGAATCATATAACGATAAATAATAATTTTCCTTGTAAAAGGACAGACTTGATTTGCCACATAAAAGAAAAAAAACTTCATGGATGAGACCGTGCGTAAAATCCAAACTGGCAACATTTTACGCAGCCTGGAGGGGCTTTGCGCCCTTTTTCTTTCTCCGGCCTATTAAATTAATGAAAAATAAAAATAAAGCCAACACTAATCATCACGTGGGACTCACCCTGACCGTCTCCTCGCTCAGGCCGGTGCTCCTCGCCACCTCAGCGCGTGCCTCAACTGCTGGATACTCGGTGAGCTCGAACAGCGCCTCGAGTCGCTTGGTCTGACTGTCGGTGAACACCGTCCTCATCCGGGCCTTCTGACGCGACTGCGCCAGCATCCCAGCTTGATGGTAACCATGGTGACTTGCAAACTGTTGAGCACCTGATAAAAAAAATAACATTTAAACGAGTTTATGGAGCGAAAAACGGAAGAAATGCGCGAAAAGTGATCCTGAATTAAGTCGATCTAAGAGTTTACTCTTAAACTAAAAACAAGTTTAAATTCAAATACAACTTTATGTCAACAAACTTTTCAAGATTATCTTTAGAAATGTAAAAAAAAAAAAATAATAATAACCTGCAGAGTCCTGGCTGCTGCTGAAATGCACGTGAGCTCCTTGTTGTAAGTTTGGATAAATGCTGAAGTCTGTGTGATGGAAACCGGCTCCGCACGGGTACAACGCCTCTCCGAAGCTCATCCCTCGGTACTGAAGGCAGCCTGACACTGGAACCGGCACCGGCACCAGGACCGGCGCAGGAGGTCTGATGTTCCCGGAGTCCAAACTGAATCCGTCTTGGATCCTCTGGAGACAACCTCCTGGTGGAAACTCCATCACCGAGGTCTTGTGTCCGAACTGTGGGGAGAGGATGCGCTCCATGCTGAAGTCCGACACGCCGCTCCTTCTGTCCATCGTTACACTTGAATGTCTGAACAAGTTGCTTCTGAGCTCTGGAGCTCCAGTGTCCAGTTTTAAAGAGAAGCACAAAGTGTGAAGGCGCCATCAAACACCTGACTGCGCTTTAATATGTTAATGAGCTTCTTGAGCGTTTGATGGCTGAAGTTCAGTCAGACATGAGAAGAAATCTGGACTTTGATTTGACCTCTTGAACCCTTTGATTCTTTGAACTGGACGATGATGTGATGATGGGACTGAGTCTGTAAACTGGAATCACTTAGTTTGTTCATTTCATCTTTGAATCAGCTGTTAACTTTCACTTTTCTTCAAACAACTGGAGGAGGAGGAAGTACTCAGATCCTTTACTCAAGTAAAAGTACTAATATCACACTGTGAAAGTACTCCACCACAAACTAAAGCCCTGCATTGAAAAAGTTAGTTAAGTAAAAGTAAGTAAATGTAATTAGGAAAATGTGCTTGTGTTAGTACAGTAAAAGTAAAAGTAGGGGAGACCAGGTAGCATATAGTTGTAAAACTTTTGTCTCAGCACTTAAACTGTTTGTGTTGGATGTCTCAAATTTTTGCACCCTTAACAAACAGTCTTTCCAACTTCTCCAGCTACATCACAGACGTCATTAACTGATGTCCAACACAAGGAGATCCATTGTTACAGCCTGCTCCACTACACTGGGACAGGTTGTAACACAGTCTGGGGTAAGATGTAACAACAAGAGTGAAGAATTAAAAACTACACAGTACAAAAATTATACATAAAGACACTGATACATACAATACTAACCAGTTCCTATAAGGTGTAACACACTAAGCTGTACCTCTCAGATGCTGAGTACCACACACACACACACACACACACACACACACACACACACACACAGTTAAAAGACTGTTGCTCCAGTCAAATAACCAGGGGTCGTCCTGCTGCGCCCACACAGGGCAGCTGTGCAGTTGCTGCACACATGCCGCGTTATTTTGCATCCTCAAATTAATTGTCTTTACTGTAGACACATGGCAGGCGCACTCAAATGCCAGAGCAACAGTATAAAGTGGCTTTTGCACAGTCCATAGGGACTTTGGTCGCTGGTTCAAGTTCCCGTCTGGACCAAATGTGGAGCGTGGACTGGCAGCTGGAGAGATGTCCCTGAGCAAGGCACCAAACACCCAACTGTTTAGGGTACCTGTCCATTAGTAGCAATTCTTGCTCTAACATCTCCTCATGTATGGGTCCTGTTTGTGAATGTGTGAGTGGCAAAACTGAATTTCCCCTCAGGGATTAATGAAGTTTATCTTCTTAAAATTAAGCAAGTCAAGCACAAGTACCTCAAATTTGTACTTAAGTACAGTACTTGAGTAAATGTACTTTACGCTACACAAAGACTGGGACAGTAGGACCAAGTGTACAGGTACATGTTATTTATTCAGAATACCTTGTCAGCCATCTGTGTACCCCAAATTAGGTTTAAATCTATGTTGGTCAGTTTGTTTTTGAACTTTTTAGAGATAAAAAAAATATATTTCAACCTTTTAAAGTGTTGGAAACGTCCATCTATGGACCAGAGGTGCTGTAAAACACACTTTGTAGTTATTTCTTTCCTTTCCTTTTATTCTCTCCTCACTGTCTTCTGCCATCTGCTACTGTCTGTGTTCAGGATCATTTGGATTTTTGAGGAGGAATAATCTGCAGTGAATGCCGGTGGCCTGCAGATGTCACCGGTAGCGTTTGTACAGACTGCAAACAACCTGCTGGCTTCTAAATTACTATTTCTCCAAAAACAAAATGTGAAAAGGGAAAACAGCCAACAGTGTCTGAGAGAAGAGAAGAGAAGAGAAGAGAAGAGAAGAGAAGAGAAGAGAAGAGATTTCACATACTACAGCAGCTAAAGAGTCAGAATCAAAAGACAAAAGATATGACATGAGATAAAATAGAAAAAAAAAGAAATATATAAATATTATTGCACAGTAAGATGTTGTAGGAAACTGTACAGGAATGTTACACAGTGTTAATATAAGGATATGTACACGCACACACAAGCTGACAGAGGTGGGTCGTAACTAGTTACATTTACTCAGTTACATTTACTTGAGTAACTTTTTGGATAAATTGTACTTTTCAGAGTAGTTTTAATGCAAAATACTTTTTACTTTTACTTGAGTTATATTGTTTTAAAGCAACAATACTCTTACTTGAGTACAATATTTGGCTACTCTACCTACCTCTGAGTACATAATTACATACATATATATATATGTACAGTATAAGAATATATTTGTGTTTCTTGTGCCTTGATTTATGTTATGTTTGTAAAGATTTAATTTATTTTTGTTTTAGTTAAAGGGGTATCGTTTAAAATACATGAATTTGCAGATTATTATTTTTGATTGATTGATTACGTTCATGTTCTTATTTTACAACTAAATCAGACGTTACTCAACAGTTACTCAGTACTTGAGTAGTTTTTTCACCAAATACTCTTTTACTCTTACTCAAGTAATTATTTGGATGACTACTTTTTACTTTTACTTGAGTAAATTGTTCTAAAGCATCAGTACTCTTACTTGAGTACAATATTTGGCTAAATATAAATATGTATTTGCTTCGTCACTACACAGTGAGTGTTAGAGTGAAACCAGCTTTGATCTGCAGCAGAGGATCTTTGTCACGTCACAGCAGATCAAAGCTGTAAATGACACTGAGCTTTTCTCACCTTCTCAGTTCAAACAGTTAAAAACCTGCAGGAACCGAAACTGACTCAAACTAAATATGATCATAAATAAAACTGTCCACAGGAATGTGATGTATTTTATTCCACACTCCTTTGTGCTACTATAGTAAAAGCACAGTTGATGTGAGTGATGCTGACATCACATCCTCACTGTGACCTCGTCACATGTCCACATTTGGTCATGGACTTTCCACGTCCACATATGACGTCCAAGGTACCCTGGGTGTGTTGGTTGTTGACGTTCTGGGACGCCGTGTCAACTTCAGCCTGTTACATGCATTGTCTGTTTTCAAAATACACTTCTGTTTTCACAGGAAATGTACAGTTTGCATACAGTCTCTTTCAAAATAAAAGCACTACGTTGGTACAACTCCACAAATTGACATTTTTTTCCTTCAACAACACATGTGGTTGGGTTTAGGAAAAAAAGAACAGAGTTTGACTTTATATTCAAATGGGAAGCAAACACCGGCCTCGCAGGTGAAAGTCAATGGTTGTTGGACCCATTAACCCTACTGGGACTTTTCACTTTCTTAATTTTCGTTGTTGTCCTGCTGCATTTCCCCCTGATGTTAAACAATATTGGTGACTGGCTGCTTATCATGCCACGTGAAAGGACAGCTTTTTTTGTCGGTGTCTGACGCCAGAAGTCACTGAGCAAGTGTCGGTTGTCAACGACTTCGGAGTGAGACCTGCTTGATATTGAGGTAGTAGTTCTGCCTGCAGCAGATGTACTTAGTAGGAGTAAGTACAATATACATGTATACAGAGTAGACGTGTTAAGACTTTTTCTGTGCCACAGTTTATTTACAGGTTTAAATAAAGAAAATGTACAGGCCTCATGGTTTGATTTAGTAACAGCTTTATCAGAGTTTTTAAGACTTGTTGTTTCATCATCTATAATAATGAGGGGATAAATAAGAAAATATTTAAGTGTCTTAAGTCAAAAATGAAAAGCATTAAATATGTTTTGAGTTTCAGTTTCCACAGTTTGTTTCCCTGTGAGTGTGTCGGATGTTAGTTCAGTCTGACTTCTGAGAAAAGATCAATCAGTGATCAATAACAGATCAGTCAGCGCCGTCTCTTTAAACTCTCTCTGATCTGATCGATCACTAACAGACATGAAGGGAAGGAACAGAAAGAGCAGCAGATTATCAAACATCCTCAGACTGACGATCAAACAGCACATTCACACATTTCAGTGGTACAAACGTGTTCAGTGAGGATCACAGTAGGCTCGGCTGCACAATATACAAACATTAAAGACAAAGAGACAAAATCATGATAAATAATTACAAGTTGTGAAGAACATTTTGAGTCCTGTGGGATTTTAAAAGTCTGTTTGTCTTTGGAAAAAAATTTTTTATGTGTTTGTGTATTTGTGCTGTGATGATTAAAATTCACTTTACGATAATAAAATCACAAAACAACATTTTATGGGTCCAAAATGTTGAAATAGTTCCCTAGAAAGTTTTTGGATAGAACTGAGTAATGTGATACTCATCTGGGGAAAAAAGAATTTCCTTGACAGAAAATAATTAAAATTCAAATGAATATTCTGTTATTGCAAATCACACTGCTCTTGTTTATTCTCTATTACCGACAAAGTTCTTTCTTAAAAAATTATTTGGAATTTATGTACCGCTGAAATAGTGTCATCTGCATTTGTACCTGAATGAATTACCTCAACTGTGCTTGTACAAAACGTTATGAATGAGTTTTTAATTGACTGTATCAGTATGTTGTGTGCACACATTTCCTAATAAAGAGGCAAACTCTAGCTAAGAAGTGTAATTAATTTAATTTAATTTTTATAAAAACCCTTCATGGGGAACCTATTTGTCACCGTTCATGTGAGGGAATTGTAAGTGTGTGACACGTCACATTATCTTACATTATTTCTCTTTCACACTATTTCTTCTAAATGGATGTGCTACTTGTGCTTTGATGTGATTTTAAAATGTTTAAAATGAATTCTTGAATCATTTTCTTAATAAATATTTCATGAGTAATGGTTGGTTGTCGATTGTTGTCTGATATGAGTAACTATTAACAAACATTTATGTCATGATTTGAGTGAAAACACATTTTATAGAGGCTATTGTACACAGATACAAATACTGGTGTGCCTTAGGCATAAAAAGTTTGGTCTACATAATTCAGTCCATCACAACAATAAAACATGGAAACTTTCACCGCTGTAAAATCTCACAGTAAAAAACACAGTAAATTAGTTAATGTCTTTCTTTAACTAAGGAAACCTTGTAAGGGATT